TAGCTTAGAACTTCAGTTCTCATCTGAAATCCAAATTTCATCTCCTATCCCATCCTCTCTTTCAAAGTCTACCTTCATTTCTCTATCACAGCATGGAGAGGGTGGAGATGAGGAGAATAGTAGTTTTATTAAGAACTGTGATATTCATGTCTACTCCTTCCAAGGCCTAAACCCTCTGGCCTGGAGGTGGACAGAATGTCCAGCCTCTCCCTGGTTTAGTCTCCTGTAGGTGGTACATGCAGCAAGGTTACTAAATTTAAATGGTTTTCTCTACCAATCAGCAAAAAGCCTCTAAGATTTGCACAGTTGAAGGATCCCATGTTCACACAGCTACATATGTAGAGATGGATAGCTATGACATTAAAACTGAATTAATGAAATTATAAATATGAATCATAAAATATAAAAAAGTAAAATTAGGCCCTCCCTGGTGGCACAGCGGGTTAAAGCACAGCACTGAGAATCTAAAGCCACTTCCGCATGAGTTCGATTCCCGCCTGCCCCTGGAGGTGACCACATGGCACGGCAGACCTCTCCTGACCCGCCCGCTGCTCCCCTCAGCAGTGTACTTTGTCCATCTGCCTGTTCTGCTCCCCACTCTGTCTCAGGTGAAGCCTCTCACCGCCCCTGACCCTCTGACCTGTACCCCAGTTCTGTATGTACAAATAAATAAATCTTTAAAAAAAAATTAAATTAAAGTTAAACAAAAAATTAAACCAGACAGTGGGAATTCTTTGCTGCATACCCTTCAGTTCACAGGAGAAGAAATCTGCTGAATCAGTCACATAACTAGCTAGAGGCAGAGCTGAAATCTAACTTTTCTGACTTTGGGTTGAGTTGACTTCTAATTTAGGAACTGGTGATAGAGCTAAGATTAACTGTGAGGAACAATTCTTTCAATGTTTTGCTTAATGAAGAATTACAACAACCACACAGACCCAAGAGGTGAGGTGAGAAATACTTGCATTTCTGTTGACCGTGTAGGATGTCCACAAGGGCATTTGGATGTCGTAGCTGTAAGCACTGATGAACTGGTGCTGGTAGAGTAGGCAGGTGGTGCTGTTCTTCCAGAGAATTCTGGGCCTTCCATAGGGTAAAGTATCACGCTTAATGATCTTCTCTTGGGGTGAATGGAGAAAATGGAACCACCATTTAAATGTACTTAGTGAACATTATGTGAAAATACACAGTGGTACACAGATCTAAATTTTATTCAACCCCTTTGAAAAACTATTTGTATCTGTAAGAAAACCTAATTACGAAGAGCAAATCCAAAAATAATCTAGAAGATAAAATGGATACACTGTAAATTTTGCTTATGTAGATTCTGAAAGATTAATATCTATCAAAATATCACAAGAAATGATAAGGAAATGTATAGAAATTTCTACTCTTATAAGTTAAATTTTATTTTATTTTTTAATTTATTTTGGCATACAGAACTGGGGTACAGGCCAGAGATGCGGAGGGTGAGAGGATTCACCAGGAACAGAGTGGGGAGCAGAACAGGCAGAGTGATGAAGTACACTGCTGAGGGGAGCAGCTGGTGGGTCAGGAGAGGTCTGCCATGCCATGTGGTCACCTCTGGGGCAGGCGGGGATAGAACTCATGCTGAATTGGCTTAAGCTTCTTACTGCTGTGCTTTAACCCGCTGCACCACCAGGGAGGGCCCATAAGTTAAATTTTAATATCAAATTCTTTAACACTATTTTAATTACTTCAAAATGTGCTCCAAAGAGAGTTTTCTGGGTGGTGTGTGTACTTAGAAAGCAAAAATTCAAAATGATGACACTAAACTGAATGAAACCACTGTAGAATTTAGCATTCATTTCCCTTTTCCCAAATGTCAGCTGTTTTTTGTTTATAGCATCTAATTTAACTTTTATAAATCTGCAAGAATTAAGGTTATAGGGTCCTCCCTGGTAACGCAGTGGGTTAAAGCACAGCACTAAGATGCTAATGCCACTTCAGCATGAATTCGATACCCAGCCCTGGAGGTGACCCACATGGTGCCACAGACCTCTCTTGACCTGCCCACTGCTCCCCTCAGCAGTGAACTTTGTCATTCGACCTGTTCTGCTCCTCATTCTGTCTCCGGTGAATCTTCTCATCATCCTTGCACCTCTGGCCTCTACCCCAGTTCTGTATGCATGCATAAATAAATCTCTAAAAAAAAAAAAAAAAGAATTAAGGCTATAAATTCATTTTACAAATGAGAAAACAGCAGCTTATAGGGAGTAGATATTTCCTCTATGTATATAAGCTTCTACATTCATAATTAAACCCAGATCTTGGTTTCAGAATTATCACCCTTCACCACAAAGAGTGGTAGAATCATCAAGGATTTTTGTAATCCAAACATTCTCAGAAATTTATAAAGGCAACTCAGGAATAGAACAGAATTTCCCTTTATATTTTAGCAGGATGAGAATAAGCAAATAAGGAACAGAGACTATATCAAAGTAATAGTGAATATACATATGACAACTGACAAATTTCATCAGGTATTGGCATATTCTTCAATTTTATTCAAAAACTATTAAATTAACTTTAAATTAATAAATCAACCTATACTTTCTCATAATTAAGAACCAAGTAAGATAGAAATTTAGCAGATTTTTATTTATTTTTTTTTCTGCACATCCATGTTTAATGTAGCATTATTTGCAAATAGCCAAGCAATAAAAACAACCTAAGTATAAACTGATGGAAGAATGGATAAAGAAGATAAATAATATGAATATTATTCAGTCATAAAAGGAAGGGAACCTCCTTTCTGACAGGTTTAAAATTTAAAAATTTCAAACGTCTCCAAGATGTTCATAAGGAATGATTTGGCTTCCACTCAATATATTACATGAGGTCCCCACTGTAAATACCCTCATATTTGTTAAAGATTTATTTATTTATGCATACAGAGCTGGTGTAGAGGCCAGAGGTGCAGGTGTGGTGACAGGCTTCACCAGAGATAGAGTAGGGAGCAGAACAAGCAGGTAAATGAAGTACACTGCTGAGGGAAGCAGCGGGGAGACAGGAGAGGTCTGATGTACTATGCAGGTTGGCTCTGGGGCAAGGATAGAACTCGCACTGAAGAGGCCAGCCTGCAGTGCTGCATCCTAATCTGTTGGACCACAATGGAGGGCCCAATACTGCTGCTTTCTTTATGAATAACAGTTTAAACTGTCAAGCAAAGAAATCTCTATTTCATCAGTTTGTCCTCTATTACTTCTTTAGTTTTACTGGTTATTCTCAAAAAAGGCTGAAACCTGATTCCACTCCCCATGCTCAAAAATAACCCTTACCTTTTGCCATGGTCAGATTCAACTGTGTCTGAAAATCGTCAACTGGTAAAATCTAGAAAGTTAACAATACCATCTTTAAAATCTGAGAGAAGTTTAATAAAGTATCAAATGTTTGTAGTGTAATTATTCCATCATAGAACAAAGATAACATTTGAAAATATCTTTTTTAAAAAAAAGCTGAGAACACAAGTGTACAATGGTGTGTTCTGGAAGAATAGGTGGGATCTTATACAAGTGAAATTATTTTTGATGAAGAAGGTGAAAGAATAGGATATTTGCTGCAAAAAGACAAAATCGGTAGCATTCCACATACACTATTCATTGAAAAAATAAGAATATAATTGCTATTTTATAATTATTGTTTCTATTTTTACTCTTGTAATTCTATAAGCCTAAACAAGAATGGAAAGCATAAAACTATCTGCTCCTCAAATTTCTATTTTGATGAAAATAATCAATCCTATTCATAAATGTTTACATTATTATATTCTTAAAACAGCTCTAAATTAAGACAGAAATACAAAAACAACAATAGCATATATCCATTTTGTCCATAAAAATGATATTTTCCCCCTAATTTAAAAATAGGTTAGAATGCTTTTAAAGGAAGGAACATTATCATCAGTCCATAATCAAGACCTTGCTGCTAGGAAAACAGCACAGATTCTGATTCCAGATGTTTCAGGACTCAGCTAGACTTTTCCCAACATGTACTCAAGTCAATGGGATAAAAATAGGTGGAAGCGCAAAAAAAATAGGAGGAGGAAAAATAAATAAAAGGTCTGTATGTGTCCACCTGAATTAAAAAGAAATATGTTCACTCCCATTCATATATTTTAATGTGATTACTAAATACTTCTATAACATAAGCTGTGCAGAGTGCACTATGAAATCCCTCACAGCCAAGCTCAACTTCTCAGCAATACTTACCGAGGGATCACAGGAGCAGCCTAGATGGTCTCTGGTGGTTGCTGTGATGGAGCACTGCATCAGGGGGCGGGCTTCTTTGGGATGCTTTGGGGTGTAAAAGGGATTTTTCAGAAGGTGGTTAAGGCTTCCGTGAGTTCCATTATTAGGAGCTGGTGTCAAATTCAGTAAATCTGCATAATTCCAATGATGGTAAAGAGTTAGATAAAAATTTCAAAGTCAAATAAACAATAGACTTGTATTATGGTTTTTATTTTTAAAACCAACTCTATTGGTATCCTTTATCTTTATAATAAAAGTCTATTGGATTGTAGAACATTTGTAAGACTATTCTAATCTTAATGAAAATGTATGTTGTATTCTCTTGTTGTATATTGTTATATGTCAATCACTTGTTTTAATCCTCAAAAGCAATTTGTTAAATTGTCAATGTTTGGTAGATGAGTAATCAGAGTGCTGTGCTCAAACTCTCAAAGATAATACTGCAGCAGACTTTGGACTCAAAGCTTTGTCTCAGTCTAAAATTCATACTCTTAGTAGTAATCACAAGCATTTACATAGCACAGCACTTACTATATGCCAGGTATTTTTGTAAAAGATTTATTTATTTTGGCACACAGAACTAGGGTACAGGACAGAGGTGCAGGGGTGGTGAGAGGATTCAGCAGAGACAGAGTGGGGAGCAGAGCAAGCAGACTGATGAAGTACACTGCTGAGGGGAGCAGCCCGTGAGACAGCAGGGGTCTGCTGCACCATTCCAGTCACCTCCTTGGCTTGAGACTGAACTCATGCTGAAGAGGCTGTGGTAATGCTGTGGTAGCAGCTTCGTAGTGCTGCACTTTAACCTGTTGCACCACCAGGGAGGACCTGCCAGGCATTGTTTTAAGTGTTTTCAGATGTCTTAATTCATTGACATATATAGGCTCACACAAAGAATGACACTTCATACATATTAAAGGATTTGAAAATGTCCAGAAAAGAAATATTTAAGACATAATAACTAACTATAAAAGTACTAGAGTTAATATATAGGGAAAACTACAAACATATGGATGGGTTCCTCTCAACTTCTACACCATTCATTCAATTATTATTTCTACCTAAGGTAGCATCATTTTATCTACCTTTCACAGTCCCAAACTCTTTTCTCCGGCATCCTTGACTGATCTGATTCAATCGTCATGTAAGTGAGCCCAGGACCTGGCATGGGGTGTACAGGCCTCTTCACACTGCATGTTGAGCTTTGCTGGTCTATGGACTAGTGGAAAAAACACCTGAATGATATGTTCCCTACAGTTTTCCAATGGCTTTGGTTCAGAAGAGAAAAAGTAGAAATGTAAGGTTCTGGTTGCCTCATCATCATCCTCCTAAAAGGGCTCACCATGTGACACCTCCTTTTGATAGTCCTATTCCAGCTCTGTTTTCAGAAGGGATGAACACTGCCTGTTCACACTTACCACACATTAAATTATAGACTTCAATATTTTCAAAGGCATCAACTTCAAAGCCGTGCTTGAATCCAGGTCCATAGCCAATAAAGAGGGCCTAGATTGGCCAGAAAAGTAACAGTGTCTCAACTAATTTTGTTAAATATGTACATATAGTTCGTTAAACATGAACACCCATATTTCATATTATACACATTGTACATCTATAAACTGGCTTTGTTAAGATAAAGGATAAATTACTATGTGCAACAGATTTTGTAGGAATTTTTTTTAACCACTGTTGCATATTTCATGTAAGGACATAATAGTTTTATGAATATTAGCTTTATTGTAATTCCTGGCTTGGAATCAAAACAGAATGTTTAAATATTATTTTATCTTTGAGATGAGAGCTAAATCTCATCCTGTCCACCTTTTGCACAGTGCTACAGAGGTCAATTTGATAATTATTGTAAGGATATTTTGAAAACTTAAAAATACCAGGGAAATGTGACTTGTTTTCTTTATTCACAAAACAAGCATGTGCTTCTCACCTATGACATTACTAGATGCATTTACTGTGGAGCAGTATTCTTAGTGAAACACAAATAAATGCAAAATATTTATTAGAAATTTGGCTGGATGTACAATTCACACTTTCATGAAATATGAAAACAAAACTCTATTCATGTCCTAAATGTAAAACAGCCAACTGAAAGATAGATGCACCAGTTATTCTCATTCAAAAGACACAGTCTATATTTTCAATACTAAAACTTTATCCATTTTTCCACATATAAACTACCATTTTTTTTTAAGTAGAATAGGTTTACTCACTTGCATATTTGAAAATGCATTATCAGAGCCATGAAATCCACTTCCACAGGATTTCCTCTCTGAAGGATTCCTAATTATTTGCATAATACAAATTAATAGCATAATTCATAAAACATTCATAAATCCAAACTGACATTATCAGTTATTATCCTATTAATAGTTTAGGTCACTACTTGTTATAAGGTGGTATCATATGCCATCAATAAGGAAGTAACTAATTTGTTAATCAAACAACTACTACTTGGTATTGAAAAGCACTGAGGGGCTGCGTTTATCATTTGTTTTGTAGACAAATTAACTTTAAGCAGTGGGAAAGAAGAGAAAAGCACCAACATGCTTTTGAGCCCTGACAGTGCTATTTACTACCTGTGGCCTTAGCAAGTTAATTTTCTTTTAGCTTCAATTTCATCATGTTGGGTTGTTTGTACAACTTAAATGGTCTAGCCTAAAGAAATGGCTGGAATATAGTAAATGTTCACTAAAATATTAGTTATTTCAAGAGGGTAAACACTGCCCCTTCTTTCAGACACTGAAAACATAGCTCTCTGATAACATTAATGCAATTCTTGACGTAGGCCCGGGTCATTGTTTAGGTTTTGCTTGACAGGGGCATTCATCACTCCTGGCTTCCTGGCAGCCATCAAAAGAGTTGATCAAGCTATGAGATACTAGCTCTATCAACCACCCAAATAACTTATACAACATACCAAATAATTGAAGTTTGTTGATGAATTTAGTATAAGAAAAATAAGAAAAACCAACTGAATAAAATGCAGGTAATTGCTAATATACAGAACTTTTGCCAAATGCTTTCGGCACTTTGAGAATATTAGCATAACTGTAACGGGCACAAGCAAATCAACAGCAAGTGGGAACACAAATATGAGCATAGGAAAGACCAATGTGGACATGAGCACATGGAGCAGTGCTTCTTCCCAGGAGTGCTCTCCCTATCCCAGGGGACTGCCAGCAATATCTGGAGACATTGTTGCTGTTGGCACAACTGAAGGAAAGGTGTTATTTTCATCTAATGAGGAGAAGCCTTGGATGCTTTCAAACAAGACAGCCACCCCAAACAAAGAATTATCTGATCCAAATGTTGCAATGCACAACTAAAACATGTTATAATGCAATGTCACTCTATATTAAAAAAAAGTTATAAGAAAACAAAACAGCAAAGGGAAGGAAGGAGAGAGGGAGGGGAAGGGAAAGGAGAGGGCGGGAGAATGCTGTGACAGAGTAAAGAGAATCATGTAACAGTGTAGCTGGAAAGGACACAACGGTTACCTTGACCTACAAATACATCAGGGCAGGTTTACCTGGGAGACTGTCAGAACTTACAATGCAAGTTGCCACTGAGGGTCCAAATAGAAGAGCAAGGTCTCAATCCTGTCATTTTTAGCAAAATGCAAGCGCTTAGGTAAGAATGGTTTTAGATAAGGTTTGAAGTGCTGCTTTGGCTCCCGACACTGAAATTGTAGAAGGAAAAGAAAACACATTATATCCATATTTTCCGAAGTATAAACTTTTCTGGAAATGACTTTCTAACCCCAATGAATTTTTTTCTTCCATTTTACCAGCACACCTAATAAATCACACATGCAAAAGGGAGTTCATACTAACGGTATAATGTACACGGTGAATATTCCTAGCTAGTAAATATCCCTATTATTACAGGCAAGCATAATTACTGCATAAAAGTCACAGGAAACTTAAACTGTATTATTAGATTTTATTGGACATATTACCAATGACCTCATTTTCAAACTTGTAACTACAAACTTGTAACTATGATTAAAAGAATTTTCTTTGAAATTGGAAGAATCTTCCATCACATGGAAAAAAAAATGCTGTATAGATAAGTCAGTCCTAGGACAAAAACTTAATTTTAAAAAACAAATCTGGTAGGAAACATGTCATAATGCTCACAATGCTTATGGTGCTACAGCTATAGAATTTTTCCCTTCTGCTGCTTTAATTACAAATATTGGGCCCTCCCTGGTGGCGCAGCTTTAGCGCAGCACTAAGAAGCTTAAGCCACTTGCACATGAGTTCGATTCCCGCCTGCCCCGGAGGAGCTCACATGGCACGGCAGACCTCTCCTGACCCGCCCGCTGCTCCCCTCAGCAGTGTACTTCGTCGATCTGCCTCTTCTGCTCCCCACTCTGTCTCTGGTGAATCCTCTCACCCTCCGCATCTCTGGCCTGTACCCTAGTTCTATATGAATAAATAAATAAATCTTTAAAAAATTACTGTACCATCATATAACTTTACAATGTCATTGAATAAATTTTTTAAAATGTCCAAACCTAAATAAATGGAAATGGCCTTTAAAATCTTTAAAGCTATAAAGCATATAAATACTGTGCTACAAGCTCATGCCACTTGCAGCAGCAGGGATGGAGCTGGAAGGGATTACATTAAGTGAAATATAAGAAGGGAAAAAGGTATTGGAACATGTCACTTATAGGTGGAATAAAGAGAAATCAAACCAAGCCAAATTTTTTTTTAAAAAAGATTTATTTGTGCATACAGACCTGGGGTACAGGCCAGATGCTCAAGGGCCGCGAGAGGCTCCACCAGAGACAGAGTGGGGAGCAGAACAGACAGATCAACAAAGTACACTGCTGAGGGGAGCAGCGGGCGGGTCAGGAGAGGTCTGCCGCGCCATGTGGTCACCTCCGGGGCAGGCGGGAATCGAACTCATGCGGAAGTGGCTTCAGCTTCTCAGTGCTGTGCTTTAACCCGCTGCGCCACCAGGGAGGGCCAAACCAAGCCAAATTTTAAAACTAACCCTTGAAAACTGACTATAGGGCCGAGGAGCACCGGCGGAGGGAGTGTCAAAGGGGGCAGGGAGCACAGACTATGGCGGTGACTTACAGGTGCTTTGGTGGAGGGTGCACTAATGACACCTGAAAGGAGGACCCTATACTCCCAACACACAAGCCATGATGTAAACCTCTATTACCACAATACTTTTGATTTTGAAAAATAAAAGTAAATGTTGTCCTGGCCCTCCGTGGTGGCGCAGTGGGTTAAAACACAGCACTGCAAGCGAGCCTTAGCGGTTTAAGTGAAAATTCGATCCAGGCCCCGGAGGTGATCCACCGGATGTGGCAGACCCCTCCTGACCCGCCCGCTGCGCCCCTCAGCAGTGTACTTCGTCATTCTGGCCGTTCTTCTCCCCACTCTGATTCTGGTGAATTCTCTCACCACCCCTGCACCTCTGGCCTATACCCCTGTCCTGTATGCATACATAAATAAATCTTTTTAAAAATTAAATGAAAAAAAAATGTTGCCCTAGATACTCAAATATTCAAATCCTACAAATCCAAAAACAAATAATGGAAACTTTTTTCTAAATATATAACATTTAAAACTAGTAATAATAATAAGCTAACAATAACTAGATTATTCAAAATAAAGATACTCACAGAAAGATTCCTGGCAATAACTTCATAATTAACTGAAGGGAGAGAAAAGTAAGAATTAATAGTTGATGGTATGCTACAACTAGAAATAAAAAAAATCAAAAGTATAGAATGTCAGGCTTACACCCTGCATTTAAATACCAAGCAGGTTTCAAATAGCTTATGTTAGTGATTATGTATTAGTCATTGACAAAAGTAAGAAAATATTTAGAACAAGATATTATGTTGTACTATTTTATGTTATTACTGTTATAATATTACATTATTAAGTATATAAATGATACATGATATTTTATATTGGTTAATGAAAGACAAGTTACAGAACATCTTTCCATCCAGCGAGCGGCCTACCCACACATCTATTCCCTCACCATGTGCCCACCTATCCAGCTGCCTATTTCTTAGTCTGTCCGTGAGTTTATCCCTCCATCTGCTTTCCATGCATCCAATACCCACCCACTCATCCATCTATCTCATCCAGGATGATTTTGAATGTGTTTTTTATGAATGTACATAGCAAATATAAACTTAACAATGAGTATCTCCAGAGAGAGGAACTGAGCAGTGAATTAAGGGAGGTAGGATAAGAAACTGTTAATTTTTACTTTCTATACTTTGATATTCAGTGACAATTCCAGAATTTACATTTAAGAGGAATACAGGGAAATGTAAAAGAGAAGACAAGAAGAGTGATTTTGAAACTGAATTTGCATTGCAAGTCCAGCATGTAGTTAGTACACTTTGTGTTACTGTCTAAGATTATTTTAATACTTTTTAAAATTTTTGAAAAAATTATCCATATAAAAATAAGATTACTGCATACATGTGTGTGTCAATAAACATAGATAGAGTTTTGCTTTAATTTGAGAAATTCAGAGGCCTAATTAAGACAGGCTGCCCTAAAAGCTTAACCATCCCATCCTAAACCTCTTTGGGACGGCCATCGCCCCTACAGCTTTTATAACAGGTTATAATACTAGCACTCTTGCATTCAGAATTTTATAAATTACTAACTAAAACTTGTGATGCATATCATCTTTTCTTTGTATTACTACCCTATTATTTGTGAAACCATTTTCCTGTAGTGAATCTACTTCCCTTCATGAATATTCAATAGTATATTGAATATACTATTGTGCCCAAACCTAACCCAATTATGGTAACTATTATGGTAACTATTAGAACTATTAGCTTTTTTCTCCTTCCATTTTGAAGTTAATTATAACAAAAAGATAAACAAAAGTTGTGCTAGATATGTGAAAATTTCTAGAGACTGATCAAAGAAAAGGATATATAACAGGTACACAGTTATAAACAGGCTTGACTTATAAAAAAGAAATATTTTTAAAAACTTTTTGGCATTTTGGGTTCCCATGTAGCCAAGAGAGAATGTGTTATTTCTTTTTCTCTGATTTAAAATACATTCTTCTTATTTTCATGAGTCATTTTTGTAGACAAAACAGTTGCTTATCAAATTAACCATCTCTGCCAGGATCCTTCCTCATATAGAAAATTATTCTAGAACTGATGTGAGTGGTTTTAATGGAATGTCATTAATTAAAGGTGAGTAAATGTAGCTGAACTTTTCTCTTAAGGTTGTTTATTTTTCAGGCAGGTAATCTTGACACTAATACAAGCAAAACACACAACGAAATTGCTAAGCTTATACTTAAACATGAATTAACCCAGTAGATATGTGGTTAGAATTAAGTCCTCATTGCCAGTTTCATAAAAATCCTCTGGATGTAAAAGAATTGCACGGCAGATTTAATGACAAAAAGGAAACTCACTTTAATTGATATGCTTTAACACCGCGGTAGGATGACTCAGAGGAACATATTCTGAACATAACCATATTCAAAGCTAGTCTAGAGATATACTTACATGAAAAGTATTTATCTGGGATATCAGAGGGTCTCAATCGAGCTGCAGGTCCATATACAACTTTGATATTTTTAACATCTCCCAAATATTTGTTCAGATACACATATTTCTTACAACTGCCTTGTTCCATGCCTAGGAGAAAAATTCCCAAACATGTTGCAACTTTGATGAAAAAGTCAACATGTCTGAACAAAACTTCTTTCACCTTCCAGAATTTAATTCAGACTCATGTTAGTTGAACATCTAATGGAAAAGACACAGAACCTGTTTTCTATTTTCTGGTATACATATTCTTCTTTAATCCCAAGGCTACATAAGCCTTGGGACATACTATGGTTTTACAAAAAACACAATAAAAAGGGAAATAAAGACATAGCCAACATACTGGTTTTGTAGTCATATTTATTATGGTAAAGAAAACTGAAGAAGCAGAAAATACTTGAACTAAATCTAAATTGTTAGATTTACCAAAATTTTAATCTTGAAAAAATTTTAAGTACCCGATTTCTTGATGGACACATTCTAAAATCAAGAGGTGGGTTCATTAGGATTTCTAGAAGTTTTAGTGTTTAGATTAGTTTTAGGTCTGTGAATTCTATTTTTTACTTGTACTTACATTTAAATTTATTTTTCCCCAAAGACTTCCACAAAAAACTACATTAAAAAAGAATAAACCGTAATAGATGAAATAATGAGACAGTAATCAATCAAGTAAAACTGAAGGGTAAACAAAGCAAATTCAGATTACCATGATCTGAAATAAGGATGAGGTTCAGACATCTATGCAAATTCAGCTCTTTCAGACCATCCATCAGCATGCCCACCATGTTGTCAACCCTCTGCAATGCTCTAATGACCTAGAAAATGACACAATCTCATGTGATACATCCCATACTGAAGTCCACTTCTGCTTAATGTTATTCTGTCAAAAAGGGAAAGCTTCAGTGGATACAAAAACTACAGTGAACTGATTCACAACAGGCTAAAACATGTCAGATAAGACAGGAAGGGCATAAATTACTGCTGGCCGCTAACAAGGGGAGGTCCAGATTCCACACACTTCAAGGGGAAGTCCTGGGAATGCATGAGATGATCTGCTCTGCACTCCTCCCTCTGGTCTGGAGTGTTATCCTTAGACCAGGCCCTGCACCAGTCAAAGTAATCCTAGCTGAAATCCACAGCTGGAGTCAGACACTGAGTCTTCTCAACTATCACCTCATTTTCTATAATCAGTTTGTTTTTGTACTTTTGATCTCTTAAATTTTTAACTATGCGAATGTTAGTATGCTTCCTAGTTTACAAAAATGCCAAAATTATTCATGAAATGCTTTGTACAGTGCTGTGAACTTCATTTTTAAAAGTAGAATGTCTAGGAATACAACCCATTATTCCTCACAAATACATGTATTCTGCTTCTCACAAGGTGACAGAATGACAAATGGTTCAGGCAATTGTTTTTGCTCCTCTTGCCCTTCTCATAAAACCCCAGCTGAGGAATTTGCACTTACATGTCTTTTCTTTAATATAGCAAATCACTCTAACCTTTATACCTCGTGCACTTCACTATAAAGTGAAACAAGTTCTTTTAACCTGGCCTTTTATTCACTCAAGGATTTCCAAGCAGTAAGAATTGTAATTTTTTTAAGCATTAAGAGAAAAGGGGGGAGGGAGTTGGTGAGCTAGCAATGTTAGTTTTTAGCAGGGCTTAAAAATTAGTGAATAGGATTTGAAAAGCAATGAGTTCAACCTTGAATGAAGATAAATACAAAACAGTAATGTAGAGAAATCTCATAAATTAGAAAAGCAGCATGTATGAGCTAATAATCAGACAATTACAAAGTCCTTGTGGCCAATCTGACCTAGACATGGATCTTCAGAACCAATGAGTTCAGTAAAAGAATAAAAATTATACTAGTATTTGATCAATTGCTCTAGCAAGGTAACAGCTATGAGATCTTTTCCTTGGACCAATTATGATACAGCTACATAGCTGATCACATTGTTTTCCCCTCCTCTCTGGGAGACATATTTGCTCAGTGGAAAGACAGAGTCAAAACAAGAGTACATGCAGCTGCTAAGTCCAGTGGAGCTGCTGGAGAAGGAATTGATGGAAAGAATATAGAAGTAAGTATAGATCTAGGTGAGGGCCAATCGCCTTTCTCTTCATCCTGTTTCACATGATGAGATGACAGCCAAGAAGGGCATATCCAGAGTGAGGGAAGCCAGGAGAAAATGACTTGGGCTGAGGTTTTACACTCAAGTGAGAACCATGAGCAGCAGGTTCTCTCTCCCTTCTGCTGGTGCAGAAGGGACCATTTAGAGCAAATAGCCCCCTCAAAAACGGGGTTCTCAAGAGAGAATCAGGGACCTGCAGCCTCTGAGATTCACAAACTAACCTGCTAGATTCTTATCTGTTGGGGGTCGTCTGGGACAAAAGATAATAAGACCAGGATTCTCAGACTAGATACTGCTTCTCCCTTTTATTATGGCCAACAAACGTCACAGACCCTTACTCACTGTTTCTTTCCATATCTTAGGTCAAAGACAAAATATAAATTCTAAGAAAATTAGAAATACAAGAGGTTTCTTCTACAGGTACTTGTAGAGGTACAAGGGAAGAAGCTCGAATCACTTTCCAAAGGAATGATTCCTGTGCTTCAGGATACAAAAATGATATTGCCACGCAAAAACTGATGTGGTATTGGATGTTTTAAAGCACTATGCCAATTACAAACATAGCCAGGAGCTATGAATGCAACTCCTGAAAGGGTGTCAGGTCAAACAAGAGATTACATGAAGAGTCAGACCATGAACTGCTACCTTATTTCCAGTTTCCTAGCAACCACTCAATAAAACAATGATTATCTAACCTCCTCTGTACTTTTGATAAACTTTCACATCCTTTAAGCTTCAAGCTCTATTTTAAGATGATTTGTGATCTCTCTGCCAAACAAGAGTGCATAAGAATTATCTTCTGCTATTTTTTTTAATCTTCTGCTATTTTTTGATAGATTATTATTTTCATAGAAAACTGGAGTTTTACAGTTAGGAAATTTTTGAAGTGCACTAGTCTTAAGGCCAATGTGTTATGGAGCAGTAAAAATATTTGGTATTGAAAATATAGATTTACTTCCTCATCATTTCAGTGTAAGCACTATGAAAAGTATAAACAACTCTCCAACCTCTTATTTTGATAAAAATGCATACTTTGCTATAATAAAATGGAGCTAAATGCACATGTTCCTTACAGAAATCATGTGATCTTATAAAATGGTCTAGAAACCTGTTTTAAAGCAAGTTTGGGTTAGATGTTATCAGGTTTAATGAAATAATCACTGATAAAATTGTACTTACTTCACTGCTGACTGGTCCATACAAATGACCTGAAGAATCTGGTTCTTCTAAATACAGAGTGTAAAAGTGTGGTCTAAATCAAACAGTATCAAAATGTAATATTTTATGAACACATGTAAAACAGAATGGAAAGAATAATTCAACAATTGATAGTGATTACAAATTCTACAATATTTAGGTAACGTTTCTAAACTTGTTGAAAATTCACAGCTTGAATTCTTCAAAATGTGACTGTAGTAGTTCACAGGGAGTTTATTTGGATATAAAACTTCATAGCTATTGCAAAGTTTTCTTGTAGTCAATTTAAAAATATTGTGTAGTAATTTCTATGGAACAAAGGCATATTTACAATAGGAATTAGTTATCCACATACCTTTCATCACTAGGAAGCTGTAACCACTTAAGAACAGTCAGAATTCTTTCTTCAAATGGTACAGAACTAAAGTTAAAAATAAATAAAAAGAAAGAAACCTGTGGTAATTGTTTGGCTTTAAAATGTTAATGTTTTTCTTACTGAAAATTTCATCAGAGAGACTAAAATCAATACAATACCAATTGTGTTTGAAGCAATATGTGTCTGAGCTGAAAACAAACTGGTTTTCCAGAGAAACAAAAGTTTAAGTGTTACTCATAAAAAAGAAAATGAAATCAAGTTTCAGATTGTATTTCCTATACTTTCCTTAGGATATTTGTCCTGCACCTTAAAGGAGTAGGTGCATCTCATGAATAACACACGTGTTGACATATTTTATGCAGGGTGATAGCTCATGAAGAAGACTCATGAAGACTCAGTAAAACTGGGGAGTGGAAATCAGACGACCAGACCCTTCCCTGGCAACATTTCCCAGTAGAATCAGTTCTGCTTTCTTCTGAGCACAGAGTTCGGTTTACACAACTCCATCAGAGAGCTTGCCCTACCCCAAACACATTCAGCAGTGTGCCTTAATTTGGCTTGGAGAAGCTGAAGAACATTTAACAATAGACTGTGAGCCCCCATGCGTAGCACAGGGCGCGGCTAGACATGGTGATCACTGAGGCATGGGGATCAATGACTACCCATGAAGTAAAAATAATAAGATGGAGAACAGACACTGCACTTTGCTCGTGTGACCCACAAAGAAGTAACAGCATAAAACTGCCATGGGAACTAGCTAGGCTGGGCCTCTCTGGTAGCCTGGGGTTAAGTCTCAGCACTATCACCTCTAAGGTAGGATACCTGGCCAGGAAGCTGACCCACATATGACACAGTAGAGCTCTCCTGTCTTGCCTACTGCTCTCCTCAGCTGTGTATTTCAGTCAATCTGCTGCTACTACTCTGTCTCTGGTGAATCCTCTCAACCCTCCCCCCACTCCCCAATCTCTGTCCTCTATCCCAGATCTTCCATGACAAAAAAAAAAAAAACAACAACAGTTATGCATGTCTCATCTGGAATTTAGAATTCTTTACCTTTTCTATTCATCCCCCAAATACATCATTGCATTGATTTTGTGAGAGAAACTTCCTAAGTGTAAAACAGTCTCACCAAAATTGGTCATTTTACTAAAATTATCCAAAGATGGCCTTCTGGACACAAAAGATTTATTTATCTTTTTCAATAAGCATGGCACTTGAATATCAGAAGGAGGTTATTCTCATATCTACTCACATAGATAGCCTGTTACAATTTTGAAATGCAAATACAGAGATGCCATTAGTATCCTGTTTAATTATTTCCAGGCACCTGGGTCCTCTTTCTTGCTTCCTTCTCTTTCTCACACCTTTTCTTCCTAGAGGTAAATGAGAGTCCTCTCAGACATCTCTACTTTTACCCTGGCTTTATTTTTTTTTCCTTTGCTTAAAGATCTGTATCCAAGTGCAAACATACCAGTGCTTTCTAGAAAATTTCTAGGAAAGAGTGTGTCTACTGTTTCTGTCCATTCATCATCAATCTCAAACTCTTTGAGAAAGAATCTTTAGTCTGAAAGTTCTCATTTTTCAGCTGACACATAACTCAAAGTCTAGAACTTAGTTCGTGATAAATAGCAGAGGCTCAGATGAAATCAATGAGCTCTTAAACAATTATAGATCCTAGAAAACATATATACATACCCATTATACATACCCATTATACATTTTGTAGATGTCTGGGAGAACTCCATTAATTTTCACATCTGATCCTGGCCAAAAAAATGTGCCACTCTTCAGACCTTGGTAGTGAGCTGTCAGCCAAATCTGGGGAAGATAATGAAGGAAAGTCAAACATTCATTTCTAGGGAAAGTGAAGATTCCACACACCAATGCATTTCTCTCAAGAGCAAGAATATGTTTAAGGTTAAAGAGCTTTGGCAGTTAAACTACAAAGCAATCATATAATGTGCTTCTAAACAGCAGCAACAAGAAATAAAATAGCCAGAGATTAAACTTTAAAAATATGGATATAAAACAATTAGTAATTTATACAACTTTAGAGCCATGCCCTAGTTTAGGAAATTTCTCTTGAAAGAAGAAAATACACAAAGATTATATATATATATAATCTTTGTGTATTTTCACTTCCATAGTAACATTTTTACTTCCATAGTAACTCTTATTGGAAACTTGTTATTGTCAATTATACTTTTAAGTAGTACTCCTATAAAACCCTAGATTAATAATAATTCTCACAATAATCCCATGAGGTAGCTAAAAGGATTATCTACAATACAAAAAGGAGAAAATTGAGGTATTACGAGAATTATTTGCCCAAAATCACAGAACTTCAGATATTAGAGTTAAAAATTTGACTTTACAATCTGCAAATTAACCATCATATTCTTTTCCCTTCTAAGAAGACTGTTAGGGCAATCCAAGTAAGTCCTATGGAATTATTGTGACAATTATTAAAAATTTAAAGGTGATGATAGCAAGATCTATTAAAAAAATCCAATGAAGATAAAATTTACTTCCTTTACAGCCAAGAAACTTTCTCAATAAAAATATTACCCCCAAGCTACTCGTTCAAGGTAGCACTGAGCAATAAAGAAAAATTCAAATTCATTTCTGAAACGGATTACCCTCATTATACAATAACACAAGTTTTATTGACAATTATCAGGATCCATCTCCACTTACAAAAAGATACAGACACCATAAATGAAGTAGGCTATTGAAAACACAAAAGAACCTAGTGTTTTACTCTGATTGAAATAGATGGGACTAAGAGAAGAAACTACTTTAGTAACTAAAATAACTCACCGGTTCTCCTTTGTACCACTCAGGATTAAATTTTTCTTTACTTTTAAGTGTAAAAGAAGCATTCATTATGGGATCATACATTTTGTTGTCAATTATGCCATGGGATTCTGGGTAAAGTCCCTAAAAAAATATAAAACAGAGGTTTTATACAAGTTTTTTAAGATTAAATAAAATCATAAAACAAAATAAAAAAGAAACTGATAAATAGAAGCTACAAAGAAATTAATAAAGTTTAAGAACCAAAAAATCTCAAAAAAACAATAAGCACTCTAAATTGTGTGTAGTATTTGTGTTGTACATTATGTAACAGATGCTATGGGTGAAGGTCTACATAAATATACAATCTCCCAAACTCTGACAACAGCAGTCTACTATCCTCTTGCATTGCTGACTAACGCAGTTCTGCAGAACAAGTTTTATAAGGAGGAAAGGATGTCTAGAATGACTCTACAGATACAGGTTTTGTGGACTCCACCCCCACCTCAGATACTGGAACTACAAATCAATCAATACCAAAGAGAAGCACACTGGGACCTGAGGGTGGAGTTAAGCAGCCAGGCTTAGATATAAAACTGGACATGCAGGCTCTGGGGGTCTCTTGGCTTGTGGCTCACAGCTTGTCTCTCGGCTCTTCACTGTTTTTCAGCATGTTATGGGGTGTCCAGGTCAACAGAACTGGTAGAACGCATTAATCAACTATCTTTCTCTCTTTCCCTCAGTTATTATTATTTCCCTTTTCTCTTGTAAATAAACCCATTATTAACTTTTTTGTGTGAGCCTGCAGTTAAATCTTAAGCACACCTGCGAGGACCTACAGGCAACCCAATGTGAACTCAACCCAATTCACATTGGATTGCCCTGTAACAGTTCCTCTTGGAACTGATTAGTACAAGCTAAAGTATAAATTCTAGCTTCTACACTAAAGCCTAATGAATTCTTCTTATTTTCTGAATTCAAATTAAATCTGAAAAAAATTGAAAGAAAAATAAGGCTGTAATCCTATTTAGAATCAGACAAAGTAGCTTATTCAAATATATACATCAAAATCATTAAAAAATTGAGGATGTGAATGTGTGTCAGCTTTTGGACTCAAATGAAGTAGGCTATATAATTAGTAAGAAAAATACATACACACAAACAATACATACATACACACAAACAATACATACACACAAACTTCTAAAAAAAATAATAGAAAAAACCAGGACATAAGAATCAGAGACCCTTAAGGCTTCAAATTAAGCAACAAAAAAAAATAAGAAATCATTTTTAGAGGGGACCTTTAGTCACTTCATCAGAGAAAGAAAAAATCAAGACCCAGTGATAAAGGGACTGTCCCAAAGCAGAGCCTATGCTACCTGGCTCACCTGCACAATAGAAAGAAGTTATTTTATCCTAATTTGATATCTAAAAATTTCCCTTTGAAAAATATTAAATTCACATCTCATTTCCATGAACACATAAAATTGAAATATAGAACTTACTGTGACAATGCTGTAGTGATTGGGGAAAGTTTTTGTTGGGTAAACTGGTCTCATGTTTTTAGCGTATGTTCCACAGTTTTCTACAAGGAAAAAAAAATGATTGCTATTAAACACAAATGGCAATCTGTTCCACCTAAATCTAAATCATATTTAAAAAATAACCCAGAAAGGATTTATAGCCACACAAAAATGTGAATTATAAAACATATGGACTCAAATTTTATATTAACAACTTTTCTCTTAGTCAGAAAAACATTAAGCTGAAATAATTATTCCATATTCATCAATAAGTTCCAAATGTACTGGTTATAATAACATCACTAGCTAAAAATCTCTGTCTGATATTACTTGATGATCACTTACCTAAATTGCAAGAGCTAGTCTAAAAAAAATTGCACTAGTAGTAAATATTCAAAAGTAAAGAAAGGGCAAAGCAATACTCCCAAATCCAGAACCAGATAACTCCAAAAAAATTCACTGCTACCCTATGGACAAAGGTAACTTCTGGATTCAAGGGAGAGAAAGCACAGAAGTCAGGTGGTCCCTATTTCAGCTTTATTGACATGCTCCATGCTGCCTGTACAGCTAAGAAAGGAACACACAGTAGTGATCTAGCATTTCAATGCCTCATCCTCAGAAGGGGATGTGTATTGATCTATTCATAGTTCATTGCCTTTAAATTGTTTAAAGCTACAAGCTATGTATCTGCTAATGTTTCAGAGCTAATAGCTTCACATGTTGGGTTGCCTGCATATACATACAACACCTTAATTTTGAACTCAGGACACTATGTTTGCTGACATCAAGGCAAACTTTCCTCCTCAAGGTAACAAAAGATCAGAGTCAAGCTTCAAAAGATCATTAGCCTGGCTGATAAGAACAGCCTTCCCTGCTCATGCATTTCTATAAGCTATTTTCTTCAAATAGGAGTTACAACTGAAAAGTTTAAACATTCTCCAAAAATTATTTTAGCTCGTCACAAAAGAAATACAAAAATATTCACCAAGAGTGAATTTAATGTTCAAGCCAATCGCATATATTCAAATTCTGGTAAATAATATTTTACAATTCCAGAAGAACACAATAGTTGTTATTTACTCACATCTATTTCAGTCCACAATTATACTGTAAGTACTTATATAATACTCACTAATAACAAGTAAAGTTCTACAAATTTTATGTATGTTTCATTAACAATGCTAATATTTGTGATATCTATATTACTTTGGATTACAATTAATTGTATTGAATTAATTGAATTAATTACAACTAATGTGACTGAAAACTTTAACATTACTACAAAGAAAAAAACAATCATTTATAGAATGATCATTGGATTGAGGCCTCGATTGAGTCAAACAAATTGGAAAAATCCTATACAACACTATAGCACGATAGCATACTATAGGCAAATATTCTATGCCTACATGACTAATAGGTTCAAAAATTACAGTTTTTGAACACATTCTACTAGTACTTTTCCAAGAGGAGATAGCCTCCCCAGCCTATCTCTTGAAATCATGACACTCCATAAATTCTGAATTTACTCACTTAGTTTGCTAATAACAGGAAGAAGTCCACCCCAAGTGTGTAAATATTCTGCCCTGAAACCATCCAAAGAAAATAAGAGGGTAGGAGGCTTTTCATACCTGGATAAGAAAGAAGAAAAAAAATATTTGAAGAAGCAAAAGAAATATGCATCCAATGTATCTTGTTCTTCCGTGCCCCAGTGAAGACTTTCCACTGGTATGTAATGTGAGCTAACAAGCTCACAGGCATCCTCACAAAGGATGCTTTACAAGCAGTCATATACGAGCCCTGCTATCTTTATCTACAGAGTCCTCAAATAGCATTTAATAGTACACATATGACTTTGAACCACCACATAGAGAATATAATCCATGGTCCCAGTTTTTCCAAAAGCTAGCCTAAATCCTATAAATGTAATAACATTTTCCTAATTTGCAGAATGAACTAGCACTAACATTCTTAAATTATGCTCTTGTTTTTGTTTTTCCTGAGCAAACTTTTCTAATATGGTTTCTCCTTGAATCTAATAGATGATACTTTAATTTACGTAAATTATATGCTAATTTTCAATGTAATATATATGAAATATTAATATTTAATAGAAAATTTTTGTAGGTATTTGCTACATTTAAGTATATAAACCATAAAGGAAGAGTTCAAAATAGGGGTAGACATAAGAGTGTACACACACACACACACACACACACACAGAGTTAATGTGTATGGTGCAGCAATCCAAAGAAGCAGAAATAAAATGAACAAAGAAAACAAAACAAAACACCAAGCCTCTGACAACAAAATCGTGGTTACTAAATGTGGTGTGGTGCATATACTTATTGAGGTGCAATACTGCACTCCTGAACTTACAGAGCACTGTAAACCAATGATACATCAATTAAAATACAAAGAAAGAGCAAGTATTTTGTTCCTAATTCTAGAATCAAAAAGAAGAGAAAAAAATCACTATACATATAATGATATATTCAGCAAGAGGTAACTGAAGGTGACAGTTACAACTAAACTGTTATGATTCAGAAGTTTTGCAGCTTCTAATAATATCTGGTAATGACAGGAGAATGGTGTATCACTGACTAACCGTGCAAATTAATTATGCTAAAGCTTTCTGGTGGTGGGCTACAGTACTGGCTGCACAGCCTCTCAGTGGTCCATATGTGTCAATAATTAGTTATAGTCAAGTAACACAAGAGATAAAAATCAGTTTTCTGGGTCATCAGGTAAATATACTGGTACAGTAATTTCCAGTGTAATAAAGTGTAATAAAATATATTCTAAATTACAATCTTGTAAAGAAATGAAAATTTATAATGCTGAACAACTAAATACCATATATAATGTTTTAAACCAATGTTACTTCAATAAAAATGTAAACTAAAAGAAGAGTTATATTTTCCATTATATGCCTTGAAATTAAAAGACAGTTTTTATCAATATGTGAGATAGTCCCTTATCAATGAGATAGTCTCTCATTGAAAATTCTTGGTTTGGGGTTAGTTTTTGCAGCTGCTGTTTCTATTACATTATATAAAAAAAGTATTTTCCCATCCAAGGGAACAAAATACATACAAAGCAAAAATAAACTATAAATATACACAAAATAAGATAAAATACAACTTTAAAATTTTCAATTTTTAAGTTTGGAAGAAACATTACTACCGTCAGTATTCCATTATCAACAGGTTCCACATCTGCACATTCCAATGCAGCTGGAAAATATGTACTGTGTAGTTTTGTGTACGCTGATTGTGTCTACACTGAACACATAAGACTTTTTTCATCTGACTATTCCCTAAACAAAACAGTATGACAACTATTTGCATAGCACTTACATTGTGTTAGGCGTTACAATAATCAACGGTGACTTAAAGTAGAGGGAAGCAAGTGTAGGATACTACATGAGTTTATTTAAGAACTTGAGCATCTGTGGATTTTGATATCTACAATGACCTTGGAATCAATCCCTCATTAAAACCCACAGCCAAATGTGATGGTAATTTTAAAAGATAAATGTGTATTTCTGAAGATGAATAATTTCAATTACATGAGATTGCAAATATCACAAGAATAAATACATCTATTACTTTCATGAAATTTCTACTACTATACAGAAGGGACTCTACAAAAGACTTTAGGATGAAGAGTATAGAAATTAGAAATATAAAAATGATTTAATATCCTCAGTGATGTTTTGCTTATCCCAAAAATTTATAAATGAACCAAAATAACAAAAAAAACTTTTAATTTGTTACAAATTCACCTCTCAAAACTTCCTTCCTAAGAAAAAAGACACAGACACTTCCATTCAACACAGCAGAATACTACAACTAAATATTCATGACCTCTCTTTTTTCCACTAACTTCCAAAAGGGTGGGGTCATGTCACAATGATCTCTATATCACCAGTGCTAAATGGGAGTCCTCACTAAAAATAATGTTTAATGAACCAATGAACAATTGTTATTTTTATTTCTTTGTTTTAAAAACAGAAAAAAAATGTATTTCTAAAAGAGGAAAAACAGCATCTCAGAATTTAGTCTTACCCTGCTGGACACTGTGGCTCATCAATGCTCTCACATGTCTCTTCTACCCAACTTTCCTCACCTGAAATAATTTCAAGAAATAAACCATGTTGAACACACATATAGTAACAACATTTATGACTGCTGTGAGGCACATTAGAACAGACGCCCAAATCAAAATATGTTAAATTTACACACCGTAATAACATGGGATATGACTAGGAAATTATAACAAATAAAATCAATTATTCTGTTTCAAAATAAGATATTGTGGCCATTAGGAAGAAAAAAAGCATGTGGAATTACAACACTAAAACATAGTACTGTATTTAGGAAAACTTGAAAAGCATCTTTTCCATTTTGAAAGTGTTAATATTTTCAGCTCCTTCTATCTACCATGTAAAATCTCTGATATGAATTCCTAATGTCTAGTATTCACAGCCAGTTTCCATCAAAGAATTTCAAGGGGTCCTGTAGCCCCCAAAAACATCAGATTACATAACAATAATTGCACATCCACTCTCTCAAGGCAGGACCGATGTTGTCCTCATTTACTATAGAGGAGTCTATTATATAGAAATCAACTAGCATTTAATGTTTCCACAAAACATTAAATATTAAATATGTAAACATTAGATAGGTAACTACTCTCAAAATAATAGGAGGGTGATAGTGAGAGAGTAAGGGACTAAAATAAACAATGTTAGCCATGTGTAGATAACATTAACTATTAAGCTGAGTAACAAGTACAAGGTTCGTGGCATCCTCTGTTCTAGTAGCGGTTTGGCTTTTTTTTTTTTTTTTAAGATTTATCTATTTATGCATATAAGAACTGAAGTACAGGCCAGAAGTGCAGGGGGGTGAGAGGATTTACCAGAGACAGAGAGGGGAGCCAAACAGGCAGATTGACTGAAATACACTGCTGAGGGGAGCAGCAGGTGAGACAGGAGATGTCTGCTGCACCACCTAGGTCAGCTCCACTTCCTGGGATGGATCTAGTGTGTGTGTGGGGGGGGGGGGGGGGGCTGGGGCTGTGTATTGTGCATAGCTTTAGAGTGCTGCGCTTTAACCCCTGCGCCTCCAGGGTTTGGCATTTTCCTTTAAAAATATTTGAGAGATATTTTTTTCAACTAATGTAGTTGGCTTAAAAATATGATTCCTAATGTTAAAAAAAAACTTATGCAAAACCCTGGAGAGACGCCAGTGGTGGTTAATAGGCAGCGCATGCGCAGGACGGACCTCGACACACAGCGCTGTAGTTGATGCAGCAGTCACCCTTCTCCTTGCAGTCATCAGAACAGGAACAGAGGCTTCTGGACAACCTTTTCTCACCGCACCTGAATTTGCTGCAAGTCCATATATGTTCTAGAAACAAACATCAACAAAATACATTTTGTGTATGGTCCAAATTGAACACGACCACAACAAACACAGAATTGTCTTCCTGAGCAAGAGCCTAAGAGACAATGAACTATTTCATAACTCTTAGTCAGTGACAGACATTGCTACCACTTTGCTCAGTCTGAAGGAACAAACCGAAACATGTAGACAACACTTTTTAAAATTTCAAATGGGTTTCAAATGAGTAGGTAAGTCACATACCACGAGGCAAGACTTATCTTTGATCTTTTATTAATGTTCATGTCTCTGTCTTTCCGTGCATATTTTTACCTGGTTCTTTACATGTCTCCTGGTAATCTAGACAACAGTTTCCAAGCTCAACGCAGGCAACATCACAGCGACAATTCCCAAATGTTCTCTCAAAGCATCGACCTTTGCAACTTTTAACTGAAAAATATGAAATGAATTAGAAGTTTCTAGTTAGAATATAATAACAAAGTAAAACTCATACCTCTAAGGTAGGTAGAGCCAAACAGTACTCTAGAAGACAAAATGATCCAGGAAGTTATTCACAAGTATATAGAAAGTGAACAAACAGAAGATAACTTTATGTACAGAGTTTGTAATTTCATCTCTTGACACAGAAAAGAAGACAACTTTCATCTTTTAGTTACTACAAATCTTACTCAGCTTGGTAAGACTTAAATTAGTATAGGATATTAGAGAAGAGTCAAAACAAATCTTGTTCTGAGTGTTTTATGTTCTTTACTGATTGAAACAGCCAAGGAGTTCTCCAGAATTTCAAAATGTGAGAAGTATTTAAAGTGATTTTATCACTATGTCAAGAAGACCTCACCTCTCACTCCTAGTATTGATGTAAAGAAGTAATGTGTTGGTACAGAAACTGTTCGGGAAGACTGCTTTCCCACCATCACCTAAAACACCCCCATTGTCTTCAAATCCAGCCTGGTTTCCTCCTAAAAGCTTTCTACAACTCCCCGATGTAAGTCCATTTCCTATTTTCTTAAGCTTTTAGGAGACTGTTTCCTTCCATTCCAGCACTTATCTCCTCCAGTTTTATCTAGGTTGCTTGATTAATCTCCTAAGCTTACATCAAACTATAAAAAGCAAAAAAAACACTTTAGTTTGCCCTGCATATTGATTCCCTGGGGCTGGGAAAGGTACTTTATATAGTTAATGATGATAATTTTTTTTAAATGAATAAATGATGTATTGGGAAGAAAATGTTTTTCATTAAAATAACAATTTTATAAGTAATATTTTATTACATACCTGGAATAAGGTAAGTTTCTAATGTATTACTAAAAAATGAAAAATGGTGAGAAAAAAGTAATCTACTTGTAAAAGAATCCAACAGACAAAAAGAAACAATCCCAGTTCTAGCTGTAATATTGCCGCCTGGCCCTGTAGGACACTGTTTAGGAATTTAAGTTTCATTTGACACTGGGAATTCAATCAATTTTAAGACATGAAATAACAATTAATAATTTCTAGGATCAAAAATAATAATTTCCATATGCAAGAGAGGAAATGCTATTAATTAGAATAATAGGTATTACTTGGAGCTTATTAATATTCACCTAGGAGAGTTTTAAATACTAGGTATACTGTTATGGGTTTAGATTAAATTTATTGTTTTCAATCCTTTGGTTTTATTTTTTTTTAATTTTTTTATTTTTTAAAAGATTTATTTATTTATTCATTCATACAGAACTGGGGTACAGGCCAGAGATGTGGAGGGTGAGAGGATTCACCAGGGACAGAGTGGGGAGCAGAACAGGCAGATCAAGGAAGTACACTGCTGAGGGGAGCAGCGGGGGCGGGTCAGGAGAGGTCTGCCTCGCCATGGGGATCTCCTCCAGGGCAGGCAGGCAGATCGAACACATGTGGAGGTGGCTTAAGCTTCTTTGTGCTGTGCTTTAACCCACTGTGCCACCAGGGAGGTCCCTCTTTGGTTTTATTTTGATGTACTAAACTGAACTCAAGAGGAATTACTTATACCTAAAGACTACCTACACAAACACTAAAGTCAATAATTACTGAATTTTGTTCAATTTAATGACATTTAACTCTGAACAGAATGCTAAGTAAATACATAAAAATTACCACATTTCATTCAACAAGAAATGAGAGTTCAACCATCATTAAAAATTTTAAGTGGCAATATTACAATTACAAATTAGTCAAACAGGAAAATAGTTTGTTAAATTTTCAAAACTGAGTGCCCTATGATCATCAATGATTTTATAGAGGGAAAAAAACCTCTAAATGGAAAAAAAATGACTACTAAAATATACTGTGGTTCAGATTATATAATTTATAGAATCTTGTCAATGCTAGATAGATTTCTGCATGTGATATAAAGAAAAGCATTTATATAGAAGCTTAAAATAGCACTATTGCTTGAAATCACCCAATAGCCACAATTTAAAAACCTGTAAGAGCATGTAGTGATATTTCTGGTTGCCCAGGGATGCTCACTGCTCACCTAGGCACCTCCAGGGCTGCTTCAACAACTAACTCCCTGGGGACAAGGAGAGTCTTAGGGCCCCTGGGGGAAGCAAGGTGAGAGGGATCCAGGAGAGCAGCACCAAAACCATCAACTACATCTGCTTGCCTGTTTCTTTGTTCTTATTTCTCATTGTTTTGGTGGGTTGGTTTGTTTCATTGATTTTTGTCTGGTTTTTTATGGCCCGTCTTTGTTTTAAGAGTGATGAAATTTTGCATGTAAGCCCATAATATGAAATGTCTAAGTAAAAAAGCTTTGGGGGGGGGGTCCCCTCCCCTCCCTGGTGGCACAGCGGGTTGAAGCACAGCACTGAGAATCTAAAGTCGCTTCCGCATGAGTTTGATTCCCGCCTGCCCCGGAGGTGACCACATGGCGCGGCAGACCTCTCCTGACCCACCCACTGCTCCCCTCAGCAGTGTACTTCGCAGATCTGCCTGTTCTGCTCCCCACTCTGTCTCTGGTGAAGCCTCTCACCGCCCCTGAGCCTCTGGCCTGTACCCTTTAAGGGGTTTCAAACCAGCATCAAATGAGCAGTATCTATGAATTACCTATAAGATTAGGACATAAACATCACTCCAACACACCACACACACACACACATACGATTACCTTCTTTGGCACAGCTTGGTTTCAGCCCAAATATGCAACCAAGGATTGTTGTTAACACACAAACTGACAAAACCTGTGGGAAGAACAAAGACAATTAGCGTCAATGCCCTCTCAATTCTTCAGGTGCTTTATATATTCAAATATTTGTAAACTGCTGGTGCAACTCAGTTTCCTGGTCTGGAGCTGGTATCATAGATCATCATCTTGGCAAAATTCCAGTTGCTCAATTTTTTATTTTTCTGTATGTATGTAACGTCACAAAAGTGTATTAAGATATTGAATATAAATCTATGATATCCCAAGGTCAATGTGCCAGAAATCTCATAGCTGATCTAAATGAATATAGTTAGAAAAACGAATAATTTGGGAAGATGGAGAGGATAACCTATAACAGGATAAGCTCTTTAGTGACACAATTTCCAGCTTGTTAATCCGCAACAGATAATATGAGACTTTAAAGATCTATTTATTTATGACAGAACTGGGGTACAGGCCTGAAGTGCAGGGGCGGTGAGAGGCTTCACCAGAGACAGAGAGGGGAGCAGAACAGGTCAGCAGACAAAGTCCACTGATGAGGGGAGCAGGGGACGGGTCGGGAGAGATTGGCCTCACCATGTGGATCTCCCCACTGGCCAGGGATGGAACTTGTGCCTAGCAGCTGCGGCAGACTTCCTAGTACTGCACTTCAATCCATTGCGCCACCAGCCCTAGAGGACTCTTAACAGTTTAACCTCTCAAGCCTAAACACTGTCCTCATAGACACGGTGAGGCAGTTTTCAAAAATGAGCACTGGACCAGCTTAGAGAGCTATCTCCTCGGTTCAAATGTAATGAGAGACTGTTGGGTAACTTGGGGCAAGTCATGTAAACTTTCTAAATGTAAGATTATTCACCTATAAAATTCAAAGTTTGGATGATATAGATGTCTAAAAGAACTTTCCAGTTCTAGATTACCATTTTCTTCATCTCTATTCTTTTAAATAGAGACATTTTTAAGCAACTGGATATAATATGTAATTCCTAAAACAATAACAAAACTTTTGATTGTGAGTTAGAAGAAAAAAGGTGCATCATAATTCACAAAAAGAAATCCTCAATATTGTGTAGTGGAATAGAGTTTTCTTGACAACTCTCTAGGTCAATTTATAGGGCAATTCAACAACAAAAATGCACCAAGAACCAGATATATTAAAGATTCTAAGTTTCCAGGCTAGATATTGTATAGTCAGTAGCAAAACAGATATGACCTTTGTCCTCAAGTCACTACACAAAAAGCAAGTGAGGATAAAGGAGCAGGTTTAGTTTATTTCAGAAGAAAGTGAAGGGAAAGGAAAGGCGAGTTAAAAGTAGAATGATTCTAAAATGCAACCACATCAAAGTCAGACTTGTATTTAGAAAAACAAGAACTAAGTGCATAAATATCCATTAAAATAGAGACCTGGACTCTCCCTGGTGGTGCAACGGGCTAAAACTCTGCACTATGAAGCTCTCTGAAGCCACTGCAGCGTGAGTTCAATCCCCGGCCAAGGAGTTGACTCACATGGCGTGACAAACCTCTCCTGACCCACCCACTGCTCCCCTCAGCAGTGTACTTCAGTATATCTGCCTGTTTTGTTCCTACTCTGTCTCTGGTGAATCCTCTAACCCACCACACTTCTGTCCTGTGCCCCAGTTCTGTAAGCATAAATAAATGAATCTTTTAAAAATTTATAAAATATTTTTTTTTTTAAAAAGGGACCCATCAGAAGAAGAGTAAATAAGGGTAAATAAAATATCAGAAAAGGCCCTCCCTTTTCTACAGCAGGTTAAAGCACAGCACTGAGAAGCTAAAGCCACGTCCGCATGAGTTCGATTCCCGCCTGCCCCAGAGGTGACCACATGGTGTGGCAGACCTCTCCTGACCCGCCCGCTGCTCCCCTCAGCATTGTACTTCGTCGATCTGCCTGTTCTGCTTCCCACTCTGTTTCTGGTGAAGCCCCTGAGCCTCTGGCCTGTACCCCAGTTCTGTATGCACAAATAAATCTTTAAAAAAAAAATCAGAAGAGTACTAACATAGATTGCCTAGACCTTTGGTGGTATAAACTGAAACAACCATATATGGAAGGATTATTTTTAAATACTTATCAAAACATTAAAAACTCTTTTATTATAAATATAAACATATAGAGAAAATAAAACTAATCTGTATTTAGTTTACTGTCATTTAAAAGTTGGAGAATTGAAGTTTTATTTGTGAGAAAATTACCAAGAATAGTCTGAACAATGCTTTGTCTTTTCCTCATATAACTTGGAATACAGAGAATCTTGTCTAGGCCATATTAAACTGTGACCTTCCTAAATTTAGATCAGTTCCCAATGTTTTAACCTTTGTAGTTTTGTAACAAGGTGGTCCCCAAGAAAAGGGGAAGTTCCAGGTTTCCTACCCAACCCAGAGGGAGGATGGAGCTAAGCAGGGCAGAGAAAGATCTGGAGAGGAGACTAAAGAGGAAGGAAGCAGGATGGAGAGCCAGAAGGAGACCTGAGGGAGGCACATGGATGAGAGACATGTGGAAGTACCTGCACTTGCTTCTTGGCTCTGGACTGGTTGAAACAGATGTAGCTGAGAGACCCATGGGTAGGTTGACTATGGCAATGTTTATATTGATTTTGCTCTTTTCCTCCCAGACTTGTTTGCCTATGTCTGACCCTTTTCCCTGGGCCCCCTCCAGAAGGTACTTTAGATTTGAACAGGTTTTCAGGTCTTGCTTTGGGCCAGTTCCTTTTGGATGAAATTTTACCCACAAGGGTATGGGTAACTTTGAGTGTTTGATTTAGAAACTATATTCTACATCTTTTCTGTATTGCGATCTTTTGTACTGCACACTAATTGTATTAAAGTTCCCTTCCATTAAAGGTCTTATATGTCTTGTCTTGATGTGGCAGATGGCAGAACCTATTTAGAGCAGGCAGGTTTGTGGGTTCAGGGGTGCCTCTCACTCACTGCTCTGTAACAGTTGCAATATCATGAAACATCTCCAACAATTCCTTCAGTATAAGTTTTGTGCCAATGGCACTCCCTCTAGGACACCTTTACGCTTTCATCACAATCATGCTATTCATTCACGGGAAGAAACTCTCCTTCTCAAAGTTTCTATGGCCAAGTACCAAGAATCTATTGAACAATAACTCTGTTAACATTTCCTTGTTGACAGTTGAGTTGGATCTCCCTTCCAGGATTATCACTGTATTTTCATCATTATCAGTCCATTCTCTCATCTCGTTATTCACTTCTATCAAATGACATGTAGGTGTACTAGTGGAAGACAAAGAAGCAAAACTACTTGAAGCTTTGCTCTCTGTGCTTGGAATTGAAAAAAAGAACAAAATGACCAATCACCACAGACTTAGAAAGGAACCAAGTTGGTCACTGACCACAAAACACATGCTATCTACATATTGATTTGTCAACTGAAAAGTCAGCAGCAAAGTAAATACTTCATGCATTTCCTTAGTTAATAAACCTTGATAACTGAAAATGAACCATGTTGTTGAGTAGCTTTTGTGATTTAATTAAACTATGCTAACTGGAATAATTCATGTCAGAGAGTTACACAAAAGGAGAAACAACTAAAATCATTTTAAGAAAATGACTTAGTAAGGCATGTATCATCTGTAAAATGAAGGGATCATCAGGGGTAAGTGTGTCAGAACAGGGCTGAAAGGAAGATGCAGAAATCTGAAAATAAAGACCTGAGGTGTGGCCATTGGCAACTAGCAGCAGCTGATGACGAAGCTCTTCCATCACAGGAGAATTCACTGTGGGGCTCTGAAGTGATGGGGAGCTTACTTGTGAGAGATGGTGGTAAATCAGTGAGGACTGAGTCCACAAAGGAATAGTGAAGAGACAGGCAAGCTCTGGGAGCTCAGTTCAACCTGAGATCATAGATTGAGATGCAACCAAGTGCCTGAAATGGCAGAACAGGGGGTGAGGGGGTGGGGGGCTTAAGCGGTCACATAGTGTGGGGAGATGGGCGGGTAAAGAAAACAGCACAGAAGCAACAAGAGGGCCCCGGGGTGGCTGCAAGGACTCAGCGGGGTGAGGACCCAGGTGGACATGGGCCTTTGAACTGAGAACTGGGAGAAGAAAGACAAGATGTGGAGGCCGAGGGAGTAGAAACAAGGGAGAGAGGGAGCAGAAATTATAAACGCTAAAAGAAATTTCGGAGTCTGAGTTTTCAGAAGTGGGATAGTTTGGAATGGAAGTGAAATTAAAAGTATAAGTCTGAAACTGGTTTCAGAGAAAGTTTATTCATATTTTGAAATTTGTTGACTTAAAAATACATATTTTCTCATGACTAAGAAATTCAGTCATGAAAATGTATTACAAATAATTTTACTCTTCTTACTACATATTCAACAAAACTTGTGAGCAACTCTATTACAAGCAAGTCTCATTTTGAAGAAAGCTATAGAACAATTTAGTGGTAAGCAATTATTTAGAGGGTAACCATTAAAGCACACATAATGACATGCCTGGTTTTTACTTTTTTGTTAAGCTTCAAAAAAGGCATGCTGATTTTTTTTTTTAACCAAGTCTTCATTAGTAACGGTGTTTTTATAATGTGGTAGTTTTATAACATGCTTTAATCTTTAACATTCATTCAAACATATTTGTTTATTGCACATAAGAAAGACTAGAAATACAAAAACAATTCCTTCCCTGAAAGTGAGAACAAAGTTGAGGGATGGACATTAAAATGAATGAATATCCAAGCAACTGGAAAAGGGGTACAGCACAAAAATTTTAAATCAAAAAGTTAACAAGCTAACAGCACAGTGGAAAGGAAAGTGGATCTGGCTGCTAAAGGCTTCACAGACATTTGGAGAACAGGGGATTTCTTCCTCTATGAACAAATGTCTGAATGTTTGCAGTATGCACTGTATTGAGATTCGATGGAGAAGTACAAAAAAATTTAAAAGAAAGATTTGGTGCAACTTTAATCTCAGAGTTTACAATCTACTCAGGGCAATGGCAACTCTAGAATTTGTGGATGAAAGAGATTAAAAGCAATGAGAAACAAACTGAAGAATTAAG